ATCAAGGTTAAATTAATTCTCTACATAATCAAGGTTTAATTAATTTTCTACATAATCAAGGTTTAATAAATTCTCTACTTAATCAAGAAGAGCCATATTGTGTTATTATAAAAAGTTATCACTTGACCAAGTTAAAAAATCCTTGATTGAGTAATCCTTGATAAAAAAAACTTCTTTAAATTTTAGTTCTAAAATAAAGCAGCGTTAACACTGTAAAATTTAACTTGTAGAAGTGTATAAGTATTTAACTCATTTAATTACTAATGTCTTTTGAAGAAAAAATATTTTTATACATTAAATGAGTTTTGTTTTGGACTTAATATTTTAGTTACTATTTATAAAAACAACAGTTTTGCATCATCATTGAACAATAAAAAATGCACTTTGCATTTTTTATTGTTCAATGATGTGTGTTTAAAACTTATTTAATTAATTTGTTTAGCTTTCTATTGATATATAGCTTGTTTTGCTTTTAAAGAGATTTTTAAAGAGATTCAAATTTTAATTACTTGTCAATGTTATGCCATCAAAATTTTATTCAAAAAAATGTGCGGTTGCAGCGATAAGGTTTTTTTTTAAAATGGCTGGTAGAGAAAGAGTTAACCTTATGAAAGTTTAATTAATAGTATTTATTTGCTAAACTTTTCATCAGGTACAAATACCCTTGAAATTCTTGTTAAATCATGCGAAAATATATTTTTAAAGAAATTTATTCTGTAAAACATGTATTTTATTTTATTTTTTAAATTAAACAATTATTGGTCAAGATTGCAAAAAAGTGTAGCATTATCAAGTCAATTTTAAAATTGAAATTGCTTAATAAAAAACTTTTTATTGTCAATTTTGTTAGTTTTTTGATTTTTAATTTTATGAGACAGATTTTAATGTCAAATACTTGCCAAATACAACATAAATTGGGAAATATTAAATATAATATGTTTTTTAACATGCTCTGCAACACATTGACATTATTTAATCGCCAATTGTCTTGAATTATTGCCATAAAACATTATTTATTGCTTTAATTAATAACAAGTTGTTTGTAATTTGTTAAGTCTATAAATATTTTCTAACTTAAAAGTTAAGAATTTGCAAAATATCTCTAATGAATGAGCTGGTGAGAATCAGCATGCTGAGCTATCACCGTCAAAAAGAATTTGAGTTAAGCCAATATGATTACAAGCATTATGTTAAATTTGAGGTGAAAGGTGTTGGTTTATGTAAAGAAACTGGAAACTTTTTTTTTTAATTTTTTCAGTTTGTAGGGTTTTCTCTACGCTAAATCTAATAAAACCTTAAACATCTTAAATTGAGAAAACGTTTTCTTACACCTTGCTGGTTCTCACTGGCTCAAATGATGTTGCTTACCAAAATTCATTATTAATTAAAAATTTAAGAATGTGTAAAATGTCGTTTCGATAGGAGAACAAAAATGTCATAGTGATAAATGGCTTCTTAATAATACTATAGATTACTATTATTATCATTTTATTAGGTTATTATATTATTAGATAAACTAGAAAAAAAGTTCAGATTGTTTACATAAAAAGAAAAAAGATTCAGAAATATATAATAAGGTGATCAATGTCTTTTTTAAATATTTATTACATTTAAGAGAATATTTATTATATTTTAATATCTTAAATCTTAATTTTATTTGGTTCTCTCGCTCTATAAAAAAAATCCTTTTGTTTAGCTTTCTACAAAATTGAAAAGTCACATGATTGATAATAAATGCTTATTTTAAGAAACAAATAAAACAAAAACAAAAAATATTGATTCAAAAAAAAAAAAAAAATCTATAATGATGTGATTTACTAAAACTCTTTGTAATTAAACGCACTTGAATAAATTATAACGCCTGTAGGCATATATTTTAAAGACTTTGAGGAACTGGCTAACATGAAGACAGCGAGCTTTGAGTAAAACAACAAAGTTTGTTTTTCTTGGTATACCTTTATTATTTTGTTTTAATTAAAAAAATTTTGCCCAACCTTTTTTTTTATCATTCTCTTTAATATGAACACAACTTGTCTCAGCACTTGGGGATCCCTTTATGTTGTTTTAAATAAATCTGAAAGTCATTTCCAATATCATATGATAAAATGCATCATTTTATCATATGATAAGAACATTTTAATTTATCATATAAAAGAATCTTTCAAATTTACATTTGCTTTTTGTTTTTTAAAGTTCTTTTTAAAAAGTAAATATTTATTTAGTGCCATAGCTTATCATATAATGTAAGTTTTAAATTCGAATTTATCTTTATCTTTAGTTTTAAAGTTTGTATTTATTTTAATGTAATGAAGTTATATATTTACTTTGTTATTTAAATAAAATGTTGTTTAAATAAAATGTGTTTAATTTTCTAAGTTGTTGTGAAATTGCAGTTTGTATTTTTCTGTTCAATGACATGGATTTCAAAATGGTGGGGCACAATAGTCAAATTCTAAATAAAGTCTTCTATATCTAGAATAGGCAATAAGATTTCCCCTCTTTTTATTAAAGGGAAGGAATTACCCTTGCTAAAAGTGCAGTTTGAGAAGTTAGAGTGGGCAGTGGAAATTACATAACTACATCTACAAATAAAAGAGGTATTTGAATGTATTTAGTTTTATATGTATATTTTTGTTTATCTACTTTTTAAGTTTTGTTTGTAAATAATTATTTTATAATAAATATATTTATTTTTATTTAAAATAATTATAATAATCATTTTATATCAATTTATTCTTTTAAAAATACCAATTTTTTTTTCTTTTAATATTAATTTAGTTACAAATTGAGTTATGTTTTCAAAAAAATTGGCTGAAAGTTGTACATTTTGTTTTTACACTAAACACCATCAAAATTTAAGTCAACAGAACATGCAAAATATTATAATGATTTGAGAGCTGCTGTGACAGTGAAAATAATATACTGTCATTGAACTTTTTGAATACTTTATTAATTTTCATAATAATCACCGGTTAACAAAGGTATTCATAGGTCTATTAAGTACTAGGATTATGAAAGAACTTTTAATGACCTATAAAAAATTTAATGAACTTGATATGAATTTTTTTTTTTACTGTGTATGTTCTTTATCGAAGTCTCCTTATCTGTTCAAGAAAATATTTATATAAATATAAATACAAGAAAATACTTTTCATTAAAAGGATCATAATTAAGAAAAAATTAACATTTTACTAAATTCTTTTTTTTATTTTTTGTTCGATTTTACAATTTTACCTTCATTATCTTGTGATGGTTATTAGTTATTTTTTATGTTTATAACTGCAAGTATTATGTATTAAAAACATTTTAAATTTAGTTTGGTCTACCTTTGTACTTTACAGGCTATTATATGTTTACTTTGTCTACTGTTAAAATATGATTTTAACTTAGTAAGCTTTAATTATTTTAAGTTTACTATGTTGATCATCAGCTAATAGTTTGAAAAGAAATTAACTTTTTTGCAAACAAGGTAAGAATAATTTTATTTTCTGGTCGAAAACCAGAAAATAAATAAATTGATATTTTGTTGTTGCAATAAATGTTTTTTTAATTATAATAAATTTTTTCTGTTACACATAAAGTTTTTTTTTCTTACAGATTTTGATTGTTTAAGCATGCTCTAGAAAAAATATCAGCAACAACTTCTTAGAAAAAATATCAGCAACAACTTCTTAGAAAAAATATCAGCAACAACTTCTTAAAAAAAATATCAGCAACAACTTCTTAGAAAAAATATCAGCAACAACTTCTTAGAAAAAATATCAGCAACAACTTCTTAGAAAAAATATCAGCAACAACTTCTTAGAAAAAATATCAGCAACAACTTCTTAGAAAAAATATCAGCAACAACTTCTTAGAAAAAATATCAGCAACAACTTCTTAGAAAAAATATCAGCAACAACTTCTTAGAAAAAATATCAGCAACAACTTCTTAGAAAAAATATCAGCAACAACTTCTTAGAAAAAATATCAGCAACAACTTCTTAGAAAAAATATCAGCAACAACTTCTTAGAAAAAATATCAGCAACAACTTCTTAGAAAAAATATCAGCAACAACTTCTTAGAAAAAATATCAGCAACAACTTCTTAGAAAAAATATCAGCAACAACTTCTTAGAAAAAATATCAGCAACAACTTCTTAGAAAAAATATCAGCAACAACTTCTTAGAAAAAATATCAGCAACAACTTCTTAGAAAAAATATCAGCAACAACTTCTTAGAAAAAATATCAGCAACAACTTCTTAGAAAAAATATCAGCAACAACTTCTTAGAAAAAATATCAGCAACAACTTCTTAGAAAAAATATCAGCAACAACTTCTTAGAAAAAATATCAGCAACAACTTCTTAGAAAAAATATCAGCAACAACTTCTTAGAAAAAATATCAGCAACAACTTCTTAGAAAAAATATCAGCAACAACTTCTTAGAAAAAATATCAGCAACAACTTCTTAGAAAAAATATCAGCAACAGGTTAATTCGTTTGCAGAGTTCTTAAAAAATTTTTAAAAATTTTACTTTTTTTATGTCATTATTTAATTTAATTTTGCTTCATTTTAGACATCTTACAATATTTTTTTAGCATTTTGCAGAACAAATAGAGGGCCCACATCTTACAAGGTGTGAGTTCAAATTTAGGGTAAAAAGGGGGAAATCTGTTGAACAAAAGGAATGAGTTGGTTTCAAATTCAGATGTCACTCCATTGTATTTTGCAATTTTATTAACGGTTTTTTGTTTGTTTTTGATATAGTTGGTGCCTGATGATTGCCGTATAGGCATAAAACTTATAGTTCCATGAAAAGTTCCAATATCTAGTATATATTATATCCCATTTTCAGAACTTTTAAAATTTTTGTTTTTGACAAATAATCTTGCAACAATTTTGATGTTATGTTTACTATAATAGACATAACAAAAATTTTGCATGAAAAAAATATAACATGAAAATACTGCATGCAATGAAAGTAATACATGTAACAAAAATAAAAATAAAACTTACTACACCATTAACAGCAAGCAACTGATCTCCTCTTTTTAATCCTCCATGTCTAAATGTTTAAGATTCAAGAGTTTAAAATATAAAATCAATAAATACTTTAATTTTTTTTATTAGAGTAAAAATACAATAAAAAAAAACTACAAAACCTTTTCTTTATAAAAAACAAAGTTTATAAAACAACTAAACACTATTTTTAAGCAAGTAGTCCCATATTTGACCTCAAGGCTAAAAGCCTAAAATTTACTATTAAGCACTTCATGATAAATATTGTATTGGAGTAATCATGTAATATATGAATCCATGTAATATATAAATAACGAGACTAAAAAGTTATGTTTCTGCTATGCATATACCAAAAATAAGGCAATGAAGTTTAACAGTTCACATCAAGGTTAATATATAAATGGTAAAACACTTTGACACAACAATTTTAGATTTAAAGCACATAACAACAAATCTTTTATTTAGCAAAGCTAAAATTTTATAACAACAAATCTTCTACTTAAATTTTTTTTATATTTAAAAAACTGCTCCCCTAGATAGTCTTGCACAGAGATCTTTCAAAGAAATTAAAATGTTTTTATATTTTCACTGAACTTTTATTTCGTTCTTTTATCATTCTGGGGGTCAGCATAGAAAATAAGAAATCAAAGGCAAGCGGTCAATTCTACCAGCTAACACATAGAATTGATGGTTAATTGTTTTTTTTTTTGGATGTTCAAAATTTTAATTTTTTATGGAAATGGAAACTTGCAAATAACAAGCATTTTAACTACATGCTTAAAAGTTTTAAAAAACTCTCGTATGCATAGGTTTTCATTCAATTAAAAAAGGAAGTTTGATAACATCCAAAAAATTTATTGCTGAATTTTTTTTTAAATATGAAAACAATTTTTAAAAAAATATTTAAAAAATAAAAACTGAATAGTTAATACTAAGAGAAATCGTTTTATGAAATGCTACTATAAATTTAACTTATTAAGTACTATTTAATTTAATGCTACTCTAACTTTAAATTATTTAGTTTATATAAAACAAAGTTTTTGATAAAATTGTATTTTCAAATATAAGTTTATAGAACTTCTATTATAGAGTTTTTTTTTTAACAGGTAGTTTTAACTCTGGTCCTGCTTGTGTTGAAAATGAAAGTGTTGTTGGTCTCATTTAGTCTCCACCATTTTGATGGGTTGATGTTTAATAATTCTATTACAATTCAATAATAGAAAGAAAAAAATATGCAATTGATAATTTTAAATTTATTCAAAATAATTCATTTATTGCAATAACTTCACAAATGGTGGGAAAAGCTATCAGAAAAATAAATGAAAACAAAAAAAAAATTTGAATAGAGATCTTAGATACATACAACAATTTCAAATAATAATAAGAGCTTCAATCTTTAAAGTTAAAATATTATAGGGGAAAAATGATTGCTTATTAAAATTATTTTAAAAACTGTTAGTTAGTTTAATTTAATGTTATTAAATCTTCTGCACAAATAAACTGATTACTTAATACTAAAAAGTCAATCGATTTATGAAACACTACTATAAAAATTACTAACGTTAAAAAATAATGTTACATAAAATAAATAAAAATATTTATTAAAAATCTCAATTTTTACTAAATATATTTTTTAAGATTCCTGTTACAAAAAAAAAAAACGCACAATTAGTAATTTCTTTATAAATCATGCATTCATTCATTGCAATTTGTGACAAAAACTTACAAGAAAATAAATAAAAAGATGGCTAAGTACAGTTAAAATAAAAAATGTTTTTAGTTAAATACAGCAATTAATATATATTATTATATTATTAATAAAATAATGCATTAAATATTTTTTTTAAAGTAATAAGCAAAGAACTTTTATTATTTATGAAAAAAAAAAGATTTTCACCACCAATAAAATCAAAATAATCTAATTTTTTTTTATTTTTTCATTTTAATTCACCTCCTCAAGGCCGAGAAGGCCACTACAGACGAGGAGTCTACTTATTTGTGGCTATAACCCTCTCTCAACTCTATAACTCCGAAACACGAACCTTGACAAACAAGGCCGCTGCGCGGAGAAACGAGTTGAGCGCGGTACTACCAGGGACGTGGTGGGGATCGAACTCGGAACCACTCGTTTATGAAGCGAGCGCTCTACCACTACACCACTACCGCATAAATAAGGCAAATAAATTAATAGACACAATATTTTTCAATAAAGCAATATTTTTATTGTTTACTATATTTTATAATATCGTAAACAATAAAACTATTTTAATAGATTTTCCAAAATTTTGTTTTTAAATTATTGTGTAGTTATCAAGGTGCTTGCAAAGAAGTCCCTACAGTCTTATCAAAGAGCACCAAGGAAGAACATTTAACAAGAAAATTCACGCCTCCTTTCTTACTAATGCTACTTATTGTGCAAGAGCCGGCGTCGAACCTCAGAACTCTAACCACTGCACCACAACTGCACGAAATTTGAATGATTTTATGAGATTTTAGTATATGGTTTTTCCAATTACATCATTATTATTTGTCAAACGTTTTTTAAAACAAACTTTTTTCAACCAGCCATGGTTCATGGTTCATTCATTAAGGTGTCAAAAAGACAACTTTAGTCATTTCAGGCAATCATTTTAGTAAAACAACAATATAAAAATACTGTTATATAGTATATTGTTGTTTTACAAAATTATTTGTTTATCTTTTTTTTTTTCAACATCTTTACTTCCAACAAAACTGCAAGCAACCACTATTGCTATGTTGGAAGTTACTTCCAACAAGACTGCAAGCAACATTGCTATGTTGGAAGTTACTGGAAGAGAAAAGATGAGGTTTAAAGTGCAAGATAACGATTGATTAAAGAACAAGACAACTTAAAAGATTGCAAATTATATGAATCAGGAAAACAAGATGAAGAAAGCTAATTCCAAAGAACTGCTGTTCAAGGAAAAAAACTAGACGAATAAGAATTTTTGGAGCACTTAGGAACAGTAAAAGAATGAGACTTAATTGAATGACAAGTAACACAAGAATGAATTTTAGTACATGGCACAAAAGACTTTGTGAATAAAAATATTATTAAATATGAAAATTTAAACAACTATACTATAAGAATAAGAGAAACAAATTGTTTAAAAAGACTTGTAACTAAACATTGAACAAATGGGTTGAACAAATAGGTTGGATACTTGTAAACTAATAGTTTTCAGTTACACTCTTTTGCTTAGAGCCATTTTTATGTGTTTCATATTGTGTAAGTGTTATTTTAATGTTTTTGTTTCAATTTGTTTCTTTACTCTTGAGCGAACTTTAGTTCTATGAATAGGTTGTTGTATTAAATACAGAAAAACTTAAATGTTAAATTCTTTTGCGCATGTATTTCACCTGCTTTTTAACATATTATTTAACTTATAACATTATACAAATATAATAATACAGAGTAGTTATCGCTGTTTGAAAAAAGTTTTATTTTGTTATGTAAACTAAATTACATGGGTGTGGAGGTAGGCACAGGCATATTTGGTAGGAATAACCCGCCATTCCTGCCAAAGCCTATATATATTAGGAGTAAATAGAAAAAACATGTAAAAAATTTATTCCACACAATTAAACAAAACATAACTTATTAAAGAAAAAAAGTTTCTAATAATCACTTCGTGCAAAATATTTTTCAATTGAGCAAAGTTCTGGTACAGAAGGAACAATTACCATTTGTATGCAACCAATTAATTGTTAATTATCCAATGGGCTTAGTTTAGTTATTTTTATTAATCATTTTTCATTTAATTTATTTTACTTTAAATATATAATCTACAAAACTTTTCAGAAATGCTTGATTAAAAATGTGAATGTAATTAATACTGAATTAATACTGAATTTCTTTTAAGCAATAAAGATAGCTGTGTAGCTATAACCTTGTAAATATATAAATATAGGAAGTAAAATACCTATCCGCAACACCACCAGGAATGATTCTTGATATATATATTGGAGAATTCTGTTCACGTCCACCCATTACATTAAAACCCAAACCTTCCTCAGTTTTTGGAATTTCTACAACTCTTGGATGAGAATAACCTTCACTAGCAGCAAATGCTGCAACAGTAGCCTGAAACAGTATAAAAAAAGCTATTTAACAGTTAAAAAAACAAATTTTTGAAATAAGAAAATTAATTAAAAAACATTTTTTTATAAATAAGCTTTTTTTTTTTTTTTATCAAATTAATGCTAAATAATTGATTAAACTAGTGCTAATTAATTTATTAATAAACTGAACTCTCACTAACTTAACAAACTTAATAAAAAACAAAACAAAAATGTTGTGATATTGAATAATCAATATATCCTATTATAAATTCCCCCTAATCAAAATAAACTTTTTTATTTTTAATCTTATAACTAATTGAATGTTTTTCACAATTTACAACTTATCCAATTAATGTAAAAATACAATAAAAATTAAAAATCAATAATTAAGAAAATACTTTTGCAGTAGCACTTGCACGAACTTCTTCATTGGTATTGAAATCAACTGTTTGATAAACATTCTCATATACCTGTCAAGCAATAAATACATAAACTAATAGCTCTCATATAAATACTATCTACATTTAAAAGTATAGTATAATGATGCTTGTAAACAAATAAATTAAATATTAACACATGTAAATAAATGGAACAGTCATTTGAGAAACACCTCATATCCAAAAAAGTAAACTTTCGGGAAATAAAAAAAACACAGGTCCATAATTTAACATCATATATTTTATGAAATTTTTTATATGCTTCTACAAGGGTTTGCAAGCGAATTCTAACAAAACAAAATTTTATTATGTGTCTAGTCTTTGCCAACAATCTAATATATTTAACTCAATTTTGGCCAAAAATTAACATGAGGTGTTTCTCTGATTTAAGGCTGATTTAAATATATATTAGGAAAATATGTCACACATTTCCACTTTTAAGGTAAATGAAATTTGGTCTTTGAAAGTCGCTATGTTTGTTCTTACTGTATTTCTTGGGACACTAAGTGTTTTGTCTTAAAGATATATCACTTCCTTTGTATTCATGAGAAGTTCTATGTCCAGATTGAACAATTCAATTAAATATGGAGGATTTAAACCGCTACGGTGATCATAGACATGTTCCTTTTTTCCCCTTTACAGACCACTCACTTGAGACTTTCTTCTACAAGCTAAATTGCAATGTACTCAGTCAATGTAAAATTATAATGCCTATTTTGCTGTGGTAAATTATTAGGTATGATGAAACTGAAGTTGATTTTGTTATTTTTGATGTCTGTACAATTGATTATTCGAATATGGACACACCATACCATAGCAGTTTTTTTAACGTGTTTATTACAACAAAAATCATTGACTATTGACAGTGTTTGAGTTTTGAATGCACGGTGCCTTGGATTGCAAAACCTATTCAACAACAGCAGGTCCTCGAACTTGGCCAGGGATATTATTAGTGGTTGAAGGTAATTCCTCTCCATGTCGAACTTTCTTCTAGGTGATACAACTACAGACTCGTAATGCCCATGCCAACTGTTCCTGAAATGTATGGGCATAGAATGGTCTATAGAGAAAACAACTTCCCTAATTGGACGGGTTGGCACAGGACAGGTTGGTTTAAACAGTGGTTTCAGGTAGGCTGCTACTTAGAAGAAGCTCTCCTGGTCCATTATGATCACATTGTAAGGGGAAGGCCTCATGCAGGCAATCCTAAATTCTTCCACCCGCTGATCAGAAACATCAATAGGGTTTGTTTTGTTAACCTAATCCCAATCGCATTTCATATAAGAGTGACCACGGATTAAAAAGGTTACTTTCACTTTGCCAAACCTTTTTTAAAGATGCACAAGGGCATATAAGAACCTAAAAACTGTCCAGTTTATGTTTTGGCCGGCAAAACCATCACAAAGCATTTCAATCGTCCTCAAACTCTGTGAAACACTATGTTTAATGAAATGATGCAGGATTGAAGCCACATCGTCTGATCCACGTTTGTCAACTGTTTCATTATATGTGAAGATGTACACATTGTTCCCTGCATGCTCATGAATGTTGAATGAGTGCAGGGACAGCTGGTGTTGATAAAATACATCGTTGGTGGTCTTGTTTGGTACAGGCAACTCCTTCTGAAAATCAAAGACTTTTGCAAGAGACTTTTGATCTTGTTACCTGTGTTCTTTGCTACCCTTTTTTGATAATAGAATATTTCTGCTTTGGGTTGATGAAGCTCCTTTTCCGCAGAGTGTTTAGCCTAGTGCGTGTAAATCCGCTTCATCACCATAATGTGTAAGAAGCTGAGAGTCAATGCTGCTATTTTTTGCTTGAAACTCATCACAAGCAGAACAGGTGTCAGACCTAGGGTACCCAAATGAAATATTAAAGTTCTCATTGAATATGGCTCTATAGGACTCATATGAATGAGTAACACCAGGATGTTGCTCACAGAAAAGATTAAACATTTTTGTAATGTTGAGTGTTTCTGGCAGGTAGAGGCGACTTTTTGCATGAATAGTGGGATGAATACCCCTTGAAAGAGCCAATATAAACAATCTAAGCTCTCTGTTGTCATCTTTCGGGCATGGTTACTGTGCTTCCCTCCTTGTCTTTTGGTGGGAATCCTATAAGATACACACAGGACCAGAATTATGAGAACACAGACAAAAAATTCAGAGCAACAACAACAGTAAAACTACAAAAAACACAAACAATAGCATACTATACTACTACTACTACTACTACTACTACTACTACTACTACTACTACTACTACTACTACTACTACTACTACTACTACTACTACTACTACTACTACTACTACTACTACTACTACTACTACTACTAATAATAATAATAATAATAATAATAAATATGATTATAATCAGAATGAGAAGAACAACAATAAAATTGACAATATAATAATAACAATAATAATAATAATAATCTAGATTGCTAATTGTCTGTATTTCCCTAACTCGCTTGTGACTTATTTATTGCCAAAAATGGCAATAAATCCCTAGATACAGACATCTACTTCCTCAACTTTGTCATCTGGTTAAACCTTGATCTTGTAACTGTAGGATTTGTCTTTTGGTTTTGGGTCTGTCCCATCTGTTTTTGGTCTTCTTCTTGCAACATTTAGCACACCGATTAGTATAGACAGAAAAGCGTCTTGATCATTGTTTTGAAGCTCATGAAAAGCAGTAATGAGTCGTCTTTCGCTTCTCTTGCTGTGGCTTCCAAAACATTTAAATTGTTTGCACTTACAATCTTCTCCTGTTTGATGACTTGAAAGACGTACTTTCTTCAACTGATCTTTTTTTCTGCCAGATGATTGACATTTTTTGGACTTATTATTAAAGCATGTGGTGTCTTGATCTGCTATTTTGAGTAATGGAGCTGACAAAATGAAGGTTGTGGATTGGCAGAAGCTAGACACATGACCTGCCTAGGAATTCTTATTTGTGACATAGGCATTTTTTTCTTTTTTACAGTCTGGACTTGTACCCTTTTTCATCTGTATGCCTTTTCTTTGGGTGTTTCTGTGGCATTAAATAGGCCTTTTTTGGGTTTGATTTTACTATTTTGCTAACCTTCAAGCTTATGTTTATATAGTTCGGGACATAACTCAAATAATTGGAAAATGTGACATGTGCCCTTTTTTCTCCTGTGGTCTTCAAATATTTAAAAATGAAAATTAATAAAAATAAAATAAAAATTAGTAGGAAATATACCTCTATAACAGATCGACAAAAAGTACTTTCTAAAACTGTTTTTAAATTCTCAAGTTTACGCCCTGGCAGGTCTAGTTCTATAAAATATAAAAATTATATTTAAAAATCTATTCAAAGACCAAAAATTACAATAAAAAAATGAAAATATAATAAAAACTGTTGTTTAAAAAATTGGTTATAAACAATTATATAAATTTCCTTAAACTGATTTCCAACTACAAATGACTCAAGACTAAATTTTTTAGTATAAATACATTAGTATTATATTATAGTATTATACGCAAAGCGAAATAAATGCACTTAGACAAAGTGAAATAAATGCACTTAAACAAAGTGAAATAAATGCACTTAAACAAAGTTAAATAAATGCACTTAAACAAAGTGAAATAAATGCACTTAAACAAAGTGAAATGCATTTCATTATTAAGTTGTTAATTTAGATTAACTTAATTGTTAAATTACATTGAATCAAAAAAAAAATGTTACTTAATTGTGGCATGAAACATTTTTTTTTTTAGGTTTTACTTTAATGACAATTTATTACTAATTTTTTGTATGCATTTTGTATATTTAGAGAACTGTTACTAAAAATTGATAACTAATGTAAGTGTCACTAAACATAACATCTAGTTAGAGATCATTTATATCAAACATAACATCTAGTTAGAGATCATTTATATTAAACATAACATCTAGTTAGAGATCATTTATATTAAACATAACATCTAGTTAGAGATCATTTATATTAAACATATCATCTAGTTAGAGATCATTTATATTAAACATAACATCTAGTTAGAGATCATTTATATTAAACATAACATCTAGTTAGAGATCATTTATATTAAACATAACATCTAGTTAGAGATCATTTATATTAAACATAACACCTAGTTAGAGATCATTTATATTAAACATAACATCTAGTTAGAGATCATTTATATTAAACATAACATCTAGTTAGAGATCATTTATATTAAACATAACATCTAGTTAGAGATCATTTATATTAAACATAACATCTAGTTAGAGATCATTTATATTAAACATAACATCTAGTTAGAGATCATTTATATTAAACATAACATCTAGTTAGAGATCATTTATATTAAACATAACATCTAGTTAGAGATCATTTATATTAAACATATCATCTAGTTAGAGATCATTTATATTAAACATAACATCTAGTTAGAGATCATTTATATTAAACATAACATCTAGTTAGAGATCATTTATATTAAACATAACATCTAGTTAGAGATCATTTATAAACTAGATAACATAGACAGTAGTTGGAGAACATTTATAAATTAGATAACATAGACAGTAGTTGGAGATCATTTATAAACTAGATAACATGGACGGTAGTTAGAGATTTATTTACTAGTTAACAATGACAATATAAAACTTTATTGCACATTGCATTAACATATTATTTTTTTTGATTTTGCTAAAGTTAAAAATAACTTTACTTTCAGTCATATTTTAACATAAGTTTATATATATATAATATATATACTTAATATATTAGGTGACACTTCTTTTTGAACTGTTTTTTAACATATAAACATATATAATATTTTTAAGGAACTGAGTCAGCAAGACTAAATAACTTTTTGATACTTATATTTTTCAAGTCAATTGTATTTATCATTTGAATTCATCATGTTATATTTGTATTTATCATGATTTGTATTTATCTATTGTATTCATTATCATTGTATTTCATTATCATTGTATTTCATTATCATTGTATTATCAATTCATTACCATTGTATTTATCATGATTTGTATTCATCATGATTTGTATTTATCAAGTCATAACTTTGATTAGGCCTGTACAAAAAACTAACTTTAATAATTGTGAACAAATTTTTGGCATACAATCTCAGAAAATGGAAAAAGAAAAAAAAGAAAAAAATTTAATATGTTTAACATTTCATCAGATGAAAATAAATTTTTTTTAAATTTTAAAATTTCATAAAAATGCTCTTTTATGATTTTTACCTGGGCTTTTAATTTACTAATTAGCACACTTAAAATTATTTTTTTTGAAAAAATAATTTTAAGTGTGCTAATTAGTAAATTAAATCTAAAATTCTAAAATTGCTTAAAATGCTTAAACTAAATAAATAGTCTAAAATTGCTTAAACTAGCAATGAAAACAAGTATAGACCGGCTTGCCAGCATGTGCCAGTGTGAAACCGCTGGCCTATTCTAAATTAATGCTGGCTAGAGCATTTAGAACACTAAAATAAGAGGGAAACATAAAAACAACTAATTTATATAACATAACTTAGGATTGAATATCTCAAAACACCCTTGTAAAATTTTATCTTTTAGAGGCTAGTTAAATTATGTGGAACTTTTAAGTAAAGAAATTTATATTCAGCATCTTTCCATGTTGATATTAGTTACAATGCTGATCCCCTTTTTATCATCATAGATTACCACTACATCTTTAAATGACAGAATAAAGTTGAAACTTTTTTTCTTTTTAAGTTTGAGGATCATTGTGTAGCTAAAAAAAAGTGTAGTTAGTAATTGAACTACACACTTTTTCCACCTGTTATTTTTTCCACCTTATTAATATTTATTAAGTATTCCAAACCTCCCAACAGTTATTCCCAAAACTTCCACCTGTTATTCCCAAAACATATTTTACAGTACTGCTGATCTCATTAGATAGTAATTTTTCATTAGACCAGGCAAAAAACTCATTCTGCATTATAGCCTAATTCATATGTGTATAGTAAAAATGTTTATAATTTTTGTACTGTCCTGCACAAACAGCAGTAAATGTATTTTAGACAGATTAGAAATTTTTACTTTTAATGTGGTTAATATTTGTTGAAATCTTTTGTACAAAAAGACTACATTATGCATAATGTCAGGTAATATAAAGCAGTACAAAATATATTTTACATTCCTTGATACATATCTTGGTAAGAATAATTTTCTGCCAATAATCATAATGCTTGAATGATCCAATATTAGTTTTGGTTAAAAAAATACTGCAATAAAAGTATGAATCTCTAGCTTTTCCAAAATCTAAAAGTTCAAAGAAAGTCTAAACATTTGCTGTCAAATTCAAGTGTTGCACTATCTGTAGTTTGCTATTGGTTGTTTCAATATTATCTCAAAAGTTACTTTTCTTGAGTTAATTAAAAAGTCATTTAGAACTCTTTTCAAGGTATTCTGTAATTGCAAAGTTATTATTTTAACTTTTTTTTGTAAGTATGAGAAGTTTAATAATATTTTGTTGATTATAATTTGTTGACTTTTATCATGCCATAATTGTGACAAAGTATTTATATAGCTTTCATTTTGATTGTGACAAAGTATTTATATAGCTTTCATTTTGATATCATTTATTTCATTACATATATTTTTGGAGAAATGTTGACATGATTTAAAATCTAGTTATGCTTTTCTTACCATTTGATTGAAGTGTAAAATTTTTTGCGTTTCTGAGCATGTTTTAAAGATTTTGAATGAAATTTGAGAGAAGATTTATTTAAATCTTGGAAACTTTGTTACTTTGAAAAATGATACTACAAAACCTTCATCTTGTTTACCGGACTTTGTTCTTCTTTTGTAAGATTTTCTCTTTCTGCAATCTTTTGTTTACAAGGTTTGCAAAATTAAGCCAATTAAATACATTTAACCAAGATAAATTTCTTGGTATAACCACTAAGAAACATACAATATTTTAAACATAATAAATTTAAACTAATAAAAACAACTCATTATTTAAACAATTTCTTATTTAATTTTCAATAGAAAAACTTTAAAATTGATATAATTGTTACCTTTTATAGATTCCTTTTTTAGAAAAATTAGTCAAAAACATTTAAATAAGCTGTTTTCCTAATTTTTAAGCATGTTTCCATTATACTTCAGTGTAATAAAAGTATTTTTTAAACATGTTTCCATTATACTTCAGTGTAATAAAAGTATTTTTTAAACATGTTTCCATTATACTTTAATGTAATAAAATTTTTTGAAAAACTCAATGTTTATTTTTATACATTTACTATTTCTCCTTTTATTATTTATTTCAAGGAAAACATTTATAAAAATGTTGGAATAAGGGTATAGGATAAGGGTAGGGTAGAAGGATAAGGGTAGAGTAGAAGAAGTTCCTAAAGCTTAGATAGTAATCTTCGTAGTGGTGGTATCACAATATAAATACTCCCTTTATTTTAGTTCTTTTAAGTCCATTTAGTTCTTACTCTGTCCTGATATGTGAGAAAACACCAGGAAGGAAATATAATATAAAATAATAAAAAATTTTTTTAACTTGTTCATGTCTTATTAGAATAAGAAAAAACCATTATGAAAGCCTGTGCAAACCACACAAGTGACATGGAAGTCTGTGCAAACTACACAAGTGACGCTAAGCTTTAAAATAAAAATCAACTAGAAAAAAATATATGATGACTTACTTATAATGATTACAAATATTTTCGTTTCTGTTGATTTTTATTTTAACAGTTTAGCTCTAAGTTTCGCTCTAAGGCTCTTTTAGCAGATCTTAATTTTAGCTCTTTTAATTTTAAGATTCCTTTAGTAAAAATTTTTTCTGTAAGTTAAATCCATCTTGATGTGTTTTGACGAGTTCATAATTCTACTGTAATCCATGTAAATTCATACTATACTCCATAACACTTTTTATAATTCACAGTACTGTACTCCATAACACTTTTTATAATTCCAAAGTACTGTACTCCATAACACTTTTTATAATTCCAAAGTACTGTACTCCATAACACTTTTTATAATTCCACAGTACTGTACTCCATAACACTTTTTATAATTCCAAAGTACTGTACTCCATAACACTTTTTATAATTCCACAGTACTGTACTCCATAACACTTTTTATAATTCCACAGTACTGTACTCCATAACACTTTTTATAATTCCACAGTACTGTACTCCATAACACTTTTTATAATTCCACAGTACTGTACTCCATAACACTTTTTATAATTCCATAGTACTGTACTCCATAACACTTTTTATAATTCCAAAGTACTGTACTCCATAACACTTTTTATAATTCATAGTACTGTACTCCATAACACTTTTTATAATTCCACAGTACTGTACTCCATAACACTTTTTATATTTCCACAATACTTTTAGAATAAAGTAAAATTGATAGCATAACAGCAATAATAACATACAAGTCTTAATTTAAAAAAAATATAACTAAAATTAAAAAAATATAGTTTATTCTCCAATGTAATCTGTCAAAACTTAATCAAATTATTTAAAATTTATTAAAACTATCTATGTCTTTAAACATATCTAAAAGATATGTTTAAAGACAATTTTTTGTTTATGGTAAAGATACACTAAAGTGATTCAAAAACTTTGTTTTCAATATACTTAATGCTTGCCAACAGCATATTTAGTAGTGGTCTGGGATTGTTGTATCAATCATTTAAGTACAAAATATAATTGTTGGTAAACAGCAAAAAACATGTTTCTAAATAAAAACTGTCGACAGTTTTTATTTAGAAACATGTTTTTTGCTCACAAGAATATTTTTCATATATATTTTGCATATATACTTTTCATAATATTTCATATAAATTTCATAATACAAAAAGTAGGAGGAAATAATTGTAATGTAAAAACTCAACTTTGAAGAAAAAAAAATTGTTGTATTATTGTCTTTGATTTCCTTTGATTTAAGACATGAATGGACACAAAAAATTGTTGTCTTATTTCCTTTAAGTTTAAAATATTTATGATAAAGCACTTTTAAATAGACAAAAGTACTTTTAAATAGACCAAAGACACTTGTCAATATCTTTTAAAGATTAAAAAAATAACAACAAATAAAGTAAAAAAACTTCTGTTATTTTTACTTTTCTTACTTGACTAATATTGTTACTTACTTTTACTAAGCTCTTCTAATAACTGAATTGCATTTTCAACATCTAAAAATTTATTGAATTAAAAAATATATATGCTGTTAGTTGATAAATATATATGCTGTTGATTGAATTAAAAAAATATGTATGCTGTTGATTGAATTAAAAAATATATATACTATTAGTTAAAAAATATATATACCGCTGGTTGAATTAAAAAATATATATGCTGTTGGTTGAATTGATAAATATATATGCCCTTAATTAAAAAATATAATGCTGTCGATTGAATTGAAAAATATATATACTATTAGTTTAAAAATATATATGCCATTGGTTGAACTAAAAAATATATATGCCGTTTATTGAATTAAAAAATATATATCCAATTGGTTGAAAAATATATATGCTGTTGGTTGATAAATATAAATGCCGTTGTCTAAATTGTAAAATATAAGTGCTATTGAAAACAACAATGTATGTGGTAGAAAGCAATATGCAGTAAAATGTAACTTCATAAATAATATAATTAATAAAATAAATTATACAAAAAACGGTATACATTTGTATAAATAAAACAAAGTCGATAAAAATGGATATAAATTATATCTATTTTTTGTTAAAGAGATCCTCAAGTGCTTAGACATTCAAATTATTATGATTAAAACTAAATAATAAACAAATATCAATAAAACTAAAGTTGTCATTCTAGTTGATATTCATTCTCTTTATTTTTACTTGGTTCTCAGAACCAGTAAAGTCGATAAAAATGGATATAAATTATATCTATTTTTTGTTAAAGAGATCCTCAAGTGCTTAGACATTCAAATTATTATGATTAAAACTAAATAATAAACAAATATCAATAAAACTAAAGTTGTCATTCTAGTTGATATTCATTCTCTTTATTTTTACTTGGTTCTCAGAGTCTTTATAAAATACGTTGTAATCTGCAGGGTTGATAATTTATTTCATGTGTGTTTAATTCATATCAGCTTCAGTATATGATCTGGATTTTTTTTTTCAGAAAATCTACAAAATCCCAAAAATTATTCGTAATACAATTAAAAAAAAATTATTTAAACTAAATTTAACTCTTAACAAAATATATTATTTGTCCATGTAAGAATATATTATATCAAACTTATCTTATAAAGTTAGTATTATTTATTTTATCTACTTGAAGCTTTCAAATTTTATTTTAAAACACATTTTTACATTAAAAAATAATAGTTTACTTTACTTTAGTAATACATTTCTTTTTTTCATTAAAAAAGTTTAAATCTAGAATCTAGTTGTTTTCTTCTATTTTTTTTATCACTTAGCAACGTTTTATAGTATTCTTTAAACAATTAGCTAAAGTTATTAAATTTTTTTATTAACTTTTTAATAAGTTAATAAAATTCTATATAGTTCTATATAGTTTGATTGCTATATATAATTTCTATAGTTATATATAATTGCTATAGTTATATATAGTTGCTTTAGTTATATTTAATTGCTATAGTTATATATAATTGCTATAGTTATATATAATTTCTATAGTTATATATAATTGTTATAGTTATATATAATTTCTATAGTTATATATAATTGCTATAGCTATATATAATTGCTATAGTTATATATAATTGCTATAGTTATATATAGTTGCTATAGTTATATATAATTGCTATAGTTATATAAAATTGCTATAGTTATATTTATATAGTTTAATTGCTTAACTGTATAATTTTTAACTTTAACTTTTTTAATGCAGACAAAGTGACGAAAACTCTTAACAATAAATGACATAAAATTTAAAAGAAAGTTCTAATCATTTAAACAAAAACAAAAAAGATTCCAATATAAATTTAATTTAATATAAATTTTTTGTTGATTTAATTTGAAAAAAAAAATAATTGATTTTACTAAAGTAATACAAATTTACTTAAGTACTTGATTAGTTTAAACAATTAATTACTTAAGTTACTTGAAACAGCCCTACTTGAAATACCTTCCTGGCCAATATTTTAACAGAGCTAATATTTAAACAACTAAGTGTAACCTTTTCCTACCATTAGATAATGACTTGTTTGACTTTAGATTTGCAAGCGCCATGAAAGCTAAATCAAAAAATTCAATGATAATGATAATTTAAAAACACATTTTTAACAATTATACCAAATTTTACAATTAAATTTATAAACTAAAAAAAAAATCCTTATAATGTTAGCAGTTCTAATAGTGGCCCTGGAGTTTTAAGGAGATGGCCCTTCTGAATCCTTGGGGAGCGTGACCCCCTCTGGAGCCTTGGGGAAGAAAAGTTGTTTTCAAAAAAATTAAAAATAAAAAGATTTTTTAAAAAGAAACACTCAATTAGTTTACAAACTAATCTAAGGATTTTCACAAAAAAAATTTTAGAAAAAAAGATTAACAAAAAAATACAAATAAAAGACTATAAACAAATATTAGACAAAAACAAATTTAAAAATATATTTGCCTGAGCCTAAGCCAAAGGTTTTTTGAATATATTTGCTTGAGCCTAAGCCTAAGGTTTTTTGAATATAATTGCCTGAGCCTAAGCCAAAGGTATTTTGAAATGATTAAAACTAGTTTAAATGACTAACAACATTAATATTTTTTTATTCTAATAAATTTATTTTTCAAATGTATCTTTTTTGTCTAAAAAACTGTTAAAAACTAAAACTAATCTACTGTTATAAACAACAGACACTGCTGCCAATATTATCACAAATAACATTACTAATTTTAAAATCAACAGAAATAGTTTTTTTTTCTGTCATTTTTTTAGAATGTATAGAAACATTGCTATAGCTAAATCTAAAGAAGAATGGGTCAAATCTTATAAATGAGTAATTTTTAGACAAAGCTAACTCTATTTAGATTTACTACATCCAAATGAAGCTTTTACAAGCTTTACGTAGATGTTATTTAGATTTAATACATCCACATGAAGCTTTTACAAGCTTTACGTAGATGATATTTAGATTTACTACATCCACATGAAGCTTTTACAAGCTTTACATAGATGATATGAATATTGTGTTCATTGCATTTTTTTAAAAAGAAATAATATTTTTTATTTAAAAATTTCTTAAATTCAGTATCATTTTATTATATAGAACAGATATATGGGTTGAGAAACATTTTTAAAAAATGAAGAGAAAACATTTTCAAAAAATATTGTTTTAAGAAGCAACCTATTGGTTATAAAATAAAAGATGTTTACTTCACTGACTGATGGTTTGTGGGGTCCCTAAGGATTAAGAAGGAGTGTAACTATATTCTGAAAAACTCTGTAACAGTTAGTGACATCTCTGCGGTTTGTGATTAACATTTTTTAAATAGTAATTATTTTGATGCAGTTTTTTAATGTGAATATTTGAAGTTTTTAGTTTAATATAAATGATTGATTTTGTAAGAAGGGAAGTTAAGATTTTGTGATAAGGGAAGTTAAGATTTTGTAAGAAGGGAAGTCAAGATTTTGTAAGAAGGGAAGTTAAGTGGAGATTAGTTTAATGATTGATTTTGTACGAAGGAAAGTTAAGTGGAAATTAGTTTATTGATAAGATATATAAATCAAATTAATTTCTTGTTGTGTTTATTGCAAGAAAAATAAAAATACTATAGCTGATTTACTTTAATACTGTTATTATATAATTTGCACTGAATAAACAAATGTAAACTTAAACTGGAAAAAAATTTAAAAAAAAAAAAAAAATACTTAACTAAACTAAACTAAGAAAAGAAAAATCTTAACAAATGATAAAATTAATAATAAATAAACTAGAAAAAAAAAGCGCCAAATCAATATATGTTTTTATTTCAATTTAAAAGTGTTTCACTACAAAAAATTTAGAAAAGAAGTTTCAAAGTTATTTAATCCAAGCTTAATTACTTTTAAACCTAATTATTTAGAAATTTGAAAGTTAGATATTTTTTAAACATCAACTGAGCAAATACAACATAAAAAAAAAAAAAATATTTCATATTATAACTTGCATTTTGTTGTTTTTTAAAAAACAACAAAATGCAAGTTATAATATGAAATATGAAAATTATTTAATATGAATTTTATAATATGAATATTTTATAATCTGAAATATGAAAATAACAATATTAAATATAAAAAGACTGAAATTTTTTTTTATTTTTTAATGAAAATAAAAACATTTTGAATATTTTTATTATTATTTTATTACTTTTACATATATCAACTAACAAATAAGTAGAACATGCTAAAAGTGCTATTACATTGACTGACAAATTGGTAAATAATTGAGGAGTGCTGCTACATCAACTGACAAATAGGTAGAACATGGGAGGAATGATGCTACATTGACTAAAAAATAGGTAAGGCTTGGACAGGAATGGCGTGCAATCACACAATGTAACTAACCATGCTTATAATACTTTTTCTTTACAGTTGGACCATGGCGATTTGGACCATGGTGCTTTTGATGTTTTAACAATTTAAATGCTATAAATAAAATCGTTATGTTATAAATAAATTTTAACCGTTCACCTTTTCAAAAAGATCAAAAATTAAAATTTATTTATAACGTAACAATTTTTTTTATAGTATTTTTAGTATTTAAAAAATTTAAATATAACATTTGTTAATTTATACAAAACACATTTGATTTAAACAATCACTATAATTACTTTTTAATAAGTTTTTCTTCAGAAATTTCAGAAGTTTTTATTTTTTGCTAAGGCTTTAAATAAAACAAAAACTTAATTATAGTGAATGCTTAAAATAAACATATTTGTGTAAATTAACAAATGTTAAATGTTAAATTTTTTTATGTAGGCATGTTTTATGATAAATTTAAATACAATAATTTGTTTGAAAAATTTTTCCATGTCTTTCTAAAAATCTTTTAAAATAATTTTTTTGAGTTTCTTTGAATTATGAAAAAAAAAATTTTAAGTGTTATAACATGTTTACAAGAAATTTAAATTACTTTTTTAATCAAATTTTTTTCTAAATTATAAGGAAATTTCTTTTTTCACTTTTTAGATGTTGCACAATCTGTTATTTATATAAAGCTGATGCAACTACTATAAAATATTAATTTTCTTATAAACATAAACAAAAAAATTGCAAGATATTGAGTTATATTGCTTCAAGCATAAATATTTTTACTAATTAATTAAATAAAAAACTTCAATATCAAATGTAACCCTAATAAAAAATTTAATGTGTGCTATTTTTTAGCTAATATATATATTTTTTTTAATTCTGTAATTTTGTTATTTTTTAGCTAATATACAAATACAATTTTTTAGCTAGTATATATATATTTTTTAATTTGTTAACTATTTTTGATATTGTTTGTTATGAAAAATTGTCTAAATAACTATTCTAGTGTTTGCAAGATGATAAAAATAAGGATGTTTATATGTAATATAACATCCCTTTTTTTTCTTTTGCTGAACATTTTTGATGGAAAAGTAAGGTTAATAAAAATAAAAAATTCTCTTTATTTTTTCTTAAATTTTTAATATTTCTAAATAGCACTAATATCAAATGTAATTGGCATTCAAACTTTTTATGCAATCATCATTCAAACTTCATAATTAGTTTTTATAAAATTAATTACTTCTTTTATTTTACCACTTAAATGATATCTTAAGACTTAATTAAATATTAAAAATTGATAAAAAGTGGCTCAACTGAAATGACTTACTGCTTATGTTAAATGGCTTACATAACTACATTAAAATGTGTACATAAATGGCACGCCACTTTACGGTTTAAAACGAAGCCTGATATATATATATATATATATATATATATATATATATATATATATATATATATATATATATATATATATACATATATATAATTCCATTTTTGGAAAAAATTGACTTTTTTGGTTTATAATACTTCTTAGGTGCACAAAAGTCATCTCACAAAGTATGGAACCAAAATGATTCCTTTTTACACTTTTACAACTATGAGTAAAATTCAAATATCTTATGTCCTAAAAAAATAATTAAGAGACATTGTTGCTGCAAAACATGACTATCCTAAGTCCATTTTTTTGGCAAAAAAAACTTTTTTGGTTTAAAATACATAATACATATAATAAATAACTGAAAACAAATAGATTTAATCAAAAAAATCAAAAGCAGTGAATAAATTTAAAACTTGAAATTTTTCAGAAATTCTTTTTTTCAGAACAGCCAAAATGGACCTAAGATGGTTTTGTTTTGCAGCGGCAATTTAATAAGTAGAATTTTATCATATTTTATATAGTTTTAAGATCTTGCGTCTGTTTACATTGTTGCTTCTCATAAACTTAAACTTTTAATTTTTTCTTTGTTATATTATGAAAAATAATAAAATATTCTAAGCCTTCCCAGGAAGCTTATGTGGTCGCACACCTTGTTTGTCCACGCTTGAAGTAATTTAGACAACTTCACCAGATTTTTATATAGTAGCCATTCGCGAATTTGCGGCAAAACAAAGCTATAAGAAACTAGAGAATAAAAGAGCAATACCAAAAGATAAGAACTAAAGACTATACGAAATAGAAAATCTAAATAAAATAAGCTTAAAAAAAACTGAATATTGAAAAAAGAAAATTATTGCCAAAAAAATAGTATACCTAAATATTTTACTCTTTTTGTTTTCTTATTTTTAGGGCGTTTGTTATTTTCCAACACCAAAATTGATACAAGTCGAGTAAAAAAGTAGATAAGAATATAATGAAAATAAAAACATTCTTTAATATACAATTTTTTCACAACTTTTTTCAGTCAATTTATTAAGGAAATACTTTATAATTTGCTCTAGAAACACGGAAAAAAAATATTTGAAAAACAAATTTTTAAATTTGTTTTTCAAATTTCTTTGCTAAATTTTACTATTTTTATCAATACACAGGAAAGCGAGAAAAGTAATTTTTATTTATAGGTAAAAACTTTCTTTTTTTTTAAACAAGTTTTTTATGTAAAAATATGAAAGGATGCTCCAAAATCTTGAAGAATAGCGCATGGTCAATTTACTATACTTTTTAAAAATTTTTAGGAGCCTATTTAAAACTTTTTTCCAAGTTTTTAAATACATATATAAAAGCAACAATTTCAGACATGCATCAAATGCGGTAAATACATTTATTAAATTTCTTTTATTTAACTTATTACGTTATTACAAAATTTATTAACCGAATAATATTTTTTACAAATAAATAATAGTTTATTTATATAAGTATTAAGAAAAAATGTCAAATGCAGTTAAAACAAATAAATGTAATAAACGAATAAAGGTAAGAAAGAAAATCAACAAAATTTGCTATAGTTTTAGCGTATATAGCAAATTAGTTTTTTAATTATATATACTGATAAAAATCGTGAATAAATTACATATCAAAACTTTTAACTGTTGTTAAATCGTTATAAAAGATAATTTTTTTTTCAACAATGACTGTAAAAAAAGAATACAAAAGTTGTATAAAATTTTTATTAAAAAAAAAATTTTGATTAATCTTTTTTAATTATTAAATTTTCTAGTTTATTTAATTAAACTTGATATTTACTTACACTTTTGTTTCCTTTTTTAAAAACTGTTTTTTACCTAGTAGATAAGTTTAGCTTTTTGCTGCTAATTATTGAAATGTTTTTATTTATAAGTTTAGTTTATAAATTTTATTTATAAGAATGTAACTATTTATAAATTAAAAGATGCAAACTGCTGTAGTCAGTTTGTCTAAAAAAATTACTTTAAATGTGGATGAACAAGGCATGTAACTGCACACACATCCCAGGAAGGCTTGCACATTTTATCTACTTCTGCTGTTTGCTCCAAGGTTATCCAACTTTGTATTGAGAGTCATATCAGTTATTCAGGGGTTTAACCCATACTTTTTTCAAAGTAACAAACCCAATATCTACTTTGAGTTGGTATTCTTCTATTATATTTGCAATATTGTGGAGTCTTCTTTTCATTAGCATTTTGTTTAAATCTTTTATTCTCAATCTAGATTTTCCAGTAAGTGCGTCAGTAACCCAACAGAATACCACTTTTAAATCAATGCAGATGAGCAAAATCTCCTTTTTCCAATTTAGACCCATATTTAATCCATTAATTACTGCATCAAGTTCATACATATGTATTTATGTGTTGTATCACACTTAGCACTATTGAACTAGCATCTACCAAAACTGTTGTCAAAATTTAGAGTTTTTGTAGTAACAATACTACAAAAACTCTAAATTTTCTTTGCAGGATCATCGTGCATAGAAAGTGAAATTTTCTTTGCAGGATCATCATGTGTAGAAAGTGAAGCATAAGAAAAACTAACATTTTAAGTACTCAGCAAACACTTAAAAAATAATTAATTTAATGATAGTATAACTAAAATACTTCATTCATTAATGAACCTGAGTAATTTAAATTAGTATAGGTAGTATATAATCATATATTTTTTTAAAGGTGACCACATCTTGAGCTACCACTTTCTAATAACAGCATTTCTTTTTGAATTTTAAAATTTATACATTCTACCCTTATAGGTTGTGTTCATATTGCTGCCAGTCCTTTTTCCATAACTTTATTTAATTTTGTTGTAGTTGAACCAAGCTTAAAAAGCCTGGTTCAACTACAACAACAACTACAAGCTATTTATTTTCTATTTTAAAATCATTTTCACAGTAATAAGGTAAATAATAATAACAATAATAATTATAAAATAATAAGCAATAGTAAAAATTTATTTAGCAAACTTTACTACTTCTTTTTGTTTTTAACTCTCTAAATTTTTATTTAGAGAGTTAAAAACAAAAAGAAGATTAGCAAACTTTACTAGCAAATGAAAGGTTGGAATTTTAAGTTTTTTAAAAGAATCTGATGTATCTGATTTGAAAGGTTGAAAGTTTTTAACATTTAAGGTAATTAAATATTGTAAGTAAATGTAATTAAGCAATAATTGAGTTTTAAAATGTTATCAAAATAGTTTAAAAAATAAAAATAAACTAATAATTTGAAGCAATAAAATAAAAAAATTATTAGGCACATTTGTTTTAAATTGAACAATTAAAATAATATTGTTATAGCAAATCATCACATTATTATTAATTTCATATGAATGATTTTTAATAAAAAGATTTTCTTAAGGAATATTTTGAGTGGAAGTTCTATTTCTTTCCATTGTAGATAATGTTTTCTTTTTAATTTCGTGTTATGTTGATGTTATATGTTGATGACAAATTAGGAAAAATTCCTCAAACACTTTATAAAATAAATGTTAGTTTCTTGTAAACAAGCTTCTAAAAGAAAAATATATTTTAATATTTGAAATGCCTCTCTCTTTCTATGTATGTATGTATGTATGTATGTATGTATGTATGTATGTATGTATGTATGTATGTATGTATGTATGTATGTATGTATGTATGTATGCATGTATGTATGTATGTATGTATGTATGTATGTATGTATGTATAGGTTGACCAGACGTACTCTTTTTTAGAGTATTATACTCTTTTTATGTAAAATTTTTTATACTGTCTCTTTTTCTAAAAATCACAAAATATACTTTTTTTAAACTACTGATATAAGAAATTTACTTATTTGAAATAAATAATAAAAAATGATTTTGCACAGATCTAAGCAGTTTTCTAAGCTAATATTTCTTTTACCATGCAATGAGACAAGTTAAGTTTATAAAATTTCTAAGCTAATATTTCTTTTACCATGCAATGAGACAAGTTAAGTTTATAAAATTTCTAAGCTAATATTTCTTTTACCATGCAATGAGACAAGTTAAGTTTATAAAATTTCTAAGCTAATATTTCTTTTACCATGCAATGAGACAAGTCAAGTTTATAAAATTTCTAAGCTAATATTTCTTTTACCATGCAATGAGACAAGTTAAGTTTATAAAATTTCTAAGCTAATATTTCTTTTACCATGCAATGAGACAAGTTAAGTTTATAAAATTTCTAAGCTAATATTTCTTTTACCATGCAATGAGACAAGTTAAGTTTATAAAATTTCTTAAGGAGAGTGTAAATTTTTAGATATATTTGAAAAAACTTATACATTCACCAAAAAGTGAGTAAAAAGCGATCAACATATATTTTTCTACACTATTTGTAACAACAGTTTCTATAGTCATTAAAGGCAAATGTAATATAATTCAACACGCAGCTTCAAAAACACATAAAAAATGTTCATCAGTTTTTATAAAACAAAAACTAGAATCTTTTTTTTTCTTTAAAGATTT